CTATGAAAGGGTAAAGCTTTTCTCAGGTAAGTGAGTTCTTACTCTTGCTCACATGAGGCTAGGTTAGTTACCACCAAGAACGGCTGTTTTAAAGCAAGGACACCCTGGGCTCTCTCCTCTGCATGTACAGCCTGATCTTCCGCTTTCTACCATGAGTCGAAGCAGCACGAAGCCCTCCCTAGAGGGTAAAAATTTAAAGGCCCTCTTGGACTTTGCAGTTTCTAGAACAGGGAGCCAAAATAAACCTCTTTTCTTTATAAATTTTTCAGTGTCAGGTATTCTGTTATAGCAACAGAAAATAGACTAAGGCATATCCCATGACCTTGAATGTTTAGTTAATTCTCAGTAAGTGGGGAACTAAGGTAATTTTCAGTTTTGCCCAAAAGAATGACTGGTTGTTTTGTAGTCTACATGTTCATGCCTGACCTAAAGCCATCCCCATTTGTGGGGTGAGATTGTTGTGTGGACTGTAATCTAATCTGAATAGTCCTTGTTGGAAAAGCCAAACATCTGGAAGAACTCTAAGCAGGAGAGGTTTTTTGTTTTCCTTTTTTTTCTTCTTTTCCTTATTTTTTCCTTAGCCAAGTAATTGAATTGAGTTGAAAAGTATCATGAGTTACTTTCTTAAACATAAAAGGCTAAATATTAAACTAAGTTTGAAGACTTCTATCTTACCATGAAGTTTAATTCTCTATATGTTGGAAGCGATTCAACACAGTGAACAGAGACTTCTCTTTCTAGTAACATGGTAGCTTCTCCCAGGAATAGTATTTCCACTGAAAACAATTAAGATTCATATATTTTAATGAACATACATACATTTTAATAAATAACTGAGCCAACAAGAAAGTCAAGACTCCTCAGAGGCCAAAATGAAATGCAATTTGTAATCCAAAGAAGGAAGCACTCTGGAAAGCCAGCTTTTGCACTGAGGGTTTTGTCCAAATCATGACGAATTCACGTGTTCCATTTTGTTGGCCACTTGAAGTAAAGGAAACAAGAGGCCGGAGGCTGCCCTGGGTGGAGGAATCTAACACAGGAACCCTTCACCTGAAGCTGGGCCATCTGCACCCTGTGTACAGACAAACCATAACATGGGAACTAGGTGCAACAGCTAAACCTACCTGCTTCAACACAGTATTGAGTGAGCAGGGAAGAAGTTGTGATTATAATTGGGTTTCATGCACATCTGTGTTTCAATTAATGTTACTTGTGCGGTTTGAAAAGTTCAAGGCTAGAAGTTCATTTAGAAGTGA